GGTGGCCGCCTCCTGCCCCCCGTCCCGGTCCCTGCTGCGTGTGGGGCCTGCTGGGCAGCTGTGGAGGGAGCGGGAGAACTTGGGACTCGGAGGTATCTGCTGGAGTGGTTATAAAGCGCAGCATGAGCTGAGGATTCTTAGTGCACAGATGTATTAATCGAGTTTCCATGACAACGCCTAACTATATCTTTCAGTCTGGTTTAAGTTACCAAATCTGAGTTTGAACTAGATTAGCAACCAGAATGTGTCTTCCTCCCAGCCCCACTAAGAAGCCATTCATTGTGTTGTCCTGCCTGGTGGCTTTCCTGGCTTCTCACTCCCCTGAGAAAGTGGGAAGCTGCAGGAGTGGTCATTAGTTGTCCTTTTCCCCCCTAATGTTCATTTTCCCATTTTCCTGTTTTCTCTATGAGTATGCAGGCCTGAATCCCAGATGGACTGACTACCAGTTAAAGCATGAATGCTTCAGGGCACTGAAAGTTAGAATAGAATGAAAAATATTCCTTACTGTTAATTTCTGAGTTTAACAGACATGACTCTTGGCCAAAAAGCCAGTGCCTGGCTCCAAGAATGAGGAAAAAAATATATATTCGTAAGACTAAGAAAGAAAAAAATAATACCTTTTAATTCTCCCACAGAGACCAGTGCATTTACTGTGTTTGAAGAACCTTACATGTTTTTAAGAGACTTGAAACAGGGTTTGAAAGTGCCTCTGTAGCTGCCTAGCACTGTGCAACTTTCCTGAGCTGGAAGAAACTTTCTATCTTGGTGAGAAAAACTTATCTTAAGACATTATAAAACATCTAATTGATATCTTATACATACTCGGTCATTGCCAAAACACATACAGAGGTAATAATTAAGTGTGGACTCATCCTAAAAGTAACAGTAAATCATTCTCATGAGTCTGTGATATGTGTTAACATGTCATATACAATTACAGTGGGAATGTGTGTGTTTAAAAAAAAACAGAGTAGGTCTCACTTTTTTTTGAGATCAGTGTGGAAGAGTATCTGATTATATTAAGGAAGTCTTTGCCTTTCCTTCCTAGAGTAGCTTAAATGGAAATATTCAGAGTTGCAGAAGAGATATTTTTAGGAAAAAAAAAAGTTGTAGAAGTATTTTCTAGGAGGCTTCCCTGTTTAGTGGCCAGTAGTCTTGTCTCTGATTGCTCTTGAGTCAGAACAAATGCTGTTCAGCATTTGCTGGAGAAGTGTCACAAAGATTGAAATGTAGTGGGACAGATGTTACATGCTAATGCCTTGACTCTCCTCACTGAGGCTGTCCAGCAAAGTATTGCTTCCATTATGTTCCTCAAAGTTTCTACATCTCTGTGGTGTTAAAGGTGGGTATCTTTTTTTACTTCAGGTATTTCAGGTGCTTGCAGAAATCGACCACGCCACAGCGATACAGGTCTGCTGTTCCTCGTGCTGTGTTCTGGTTTTGTACGGTTGCCTTGTGTCAAATAACGGCTTGTCAAATACCACACTCTCTTTCAGTGCAGCATGTGCACTAATGCCAGAATTATTTACAACTGTTAATAATTTTTCTTACAGAAGCTGCAAGTTAGTTTTGCATGTAAAGTTTGCAAGGTTTTTTTTATTTCATTTTGCTACTCCTCAGTGCAAAATGAAACAGGCAAAGATATGCATGTTTGTCCCTCTGTGTGAACTGCTGCACGTGTTCACAGTGTGCTGCCAGAGCGATCCTGCCTCTGCTCTGACCCGGGCACAGTTTAAGATAGTATCAGTATGTTACATAAGCAGTTTTTGTGAGCGTACACAAGGAGAGAAATAGAGACCTTCACAGTCTTTTTGGTTTCATGTAGTTATTATCAAATGTGAAACATGCCAAGTGCTGTTATTAAAAGTAACTTAAAATGTATTTACAGGTTTTTTTAAACAGATATATTTATTTAGTGTCTTTCAGAGTATCTGCTGACTAGTGTCAAAGATTTCATTGATGTTGACTTTTGCTAGTTCTCAGGAAATTGTCAGTGTTTCTTCTTATAAAGGAAGTGTCAATGAGGTCTGAGAGGAGACCTCATCAGGTCTATGACTTCTTCGCAAGGGGAAGAGCAGGGGCAGGTGCTGATCTCTTCTCTCTGGCGACCAATGGTAGGACCAGAGGAAATGACAGGAGGTTGAGCTTGGCCGTTAGGAAAAGGTTCTTGAGGCAGAGGGTGGTGGAGCACTGGAACAGGCTCCCCAGGGAGGTGGTCATGGCACCAAGCCTGACAAGATTCCAGAAGCATTTGGACGAGGCCCTCAGACACATGGTCTGAATCCTGGGATTGTCCTGTGCTGGGATAGGAGTTGGACTCGATGATCCTTGTGGGTCCCTTCCAACTCACAACATTCTGTGATTCTATGAATTATGTACTTGTGGATTGATAAATGCAATGGGACTACATGGGTATTATTGAGGGTCTAACTGAGTTAGCTACAACTCAGGACTGTGCAAGAAAGACCCTAATTTCAGAACTGAGACTAATTTGTAGCACTGGAATAAGAGAAAGGCAAAATCAACATACTTTTAAAATTTAACTCATTCAATGGGGCATCCTTAAAAGGAAGTATTGGTTGACCTTTTCTATTAGTTTACATTGAAAGTGTAAAGAACATTTTCTTGTTGGACTAAATCCATTCTTCATAACAAAATAATCATATTTTACTTTTTCATTTTTACTTCTATCTGCAAGGCTTGCATGGTAATGTTTTAACAGGCAACAGCATTCTTTTGTTTCTAATACAAATGATACAATACTATCATTTTTTCTTTTCTTTTTTTGTTTTCTTCCCCTGTTCAGGTAGCAAAGTCTTGAGGGGAAGCACAGGTTATCTATTCTTTAATGAGTGAACTATGAAAACCAAAGTTGATAATTATACTGCTGTGGCTACTATGCTTCAGGCATAGGTCTATGGGTTACACGGGGGTTTTTTAACACAGGCCAGTCATTTTGATAGTGTCATCCCATATGTGTTTAAAAATACATTCTGGAAGTAGTTGCCTGAAATACCAGCTCTTACTTCTTTTCTATAGTTACTGAGAGGGCATATTTTCACTAGGCAGTGAATGATTTGTTACTCTGCACAGAACGTCCTTTCTAGCTCTTTTTTCTGACATGGTAGATACTTGACATTTGCCAAGTCACTGTGGCAAAACTTAGTTAGTTATATAAAGTGTGTGGGCCTGCCTCTCTGGTGTGACTGGTGATCTTAATTATCTCCATTTCAGAATACCTGATTTGAAACACTGGAAAATGGAGACCAGTTTTAAAACTGTGTGACTTTTTAAAAATTGAGCTCTTTTTCTCTTCTGCCTAAATTGGCAATTGTAATAGCAATTTTTATTACACAAACACATTTTAACAGCAATTCCAACAGAGACCTTGAACACTGAATTGCATTTAGTCTTATTTGTCATTCAAGGAAAAGACATCAGTGCTGTCAAATAGAGGAAACCTTCCTCCTAGGTGACATTCAGAAACATTTTGCAGCCCTGTCAGTTAAAAAGTTTCATCCTCTATGCTTACAAATGTGTTAAGGTAATAATTTACTAGAACTTAGTTCAATGAAACAAAATCACTGAAGGGAAGAGAAGGGGATCTTATCTTTTAAAATTGCTTAGTGATGTGTAGAAACTCATTCCTGGAATCTGTAAGTTTTTTTCAGGTCACTTATTTATTATGCAGGCATGATTTTTGCTTCACGAAGCTTCTGTTGCTTTGGCATTAGAACATACCAACTACGAACAGATTTGCTTTCCAGATCCATCAGACTTTCAGCCTCTGCAGTAAGTATTCCTTCAGCTTCATAGATAAAACTATTTCATGCAATGTTTTAGGTATGCACTATTTTTGCAGTGTTACCAATATGTATTAATTAGCTGTGTTTTCTTCCTTTCTTGTTACATTGATCCAAATATTTAATATCAAGAACAAAATAAGGTATTTGAATCAGTCAAATATTTAACCACACTAGCGTAACAGAATTCAGCAGTTATTGCTTTGTGTATCCTTTTCAGTCTTTAAAGTCACATCTAGCCCATATCAGGCCAGAAGGATTGCCTAGTTGTTAGGGCACTGGAGCTTGAGATACAGGAGACAGGTTCAATCCCAGATTTATCACAGACTTTTGGTATAAGACAATTAATTTATTTGTATCTCTGTTTTCCTTTAATGAAATGAGAGTTGTGGTGCTTCTTGATGCTGCAATAACAAAGGGGATGTAAGTACCTCAAACTTAATTTTATACCAAATCTTCTCAATTTCCCAGCTCAACTGCTTATAGGGTTGTGTGACTTCAGGTGTCCCAGTTTTGTTGAGAGAAAACAGAGCTTTGCAACATGGTGTGTGGTTGGAGGTCACACTCTGTGTTGCGTATAGAACACTGGAGGGTAAATTGTGTTCCCAGGGCAGAACAGGCATTCATCTAGTCAGCAACTTGCGTCAACCCAGGCACATGTCAGATCCTTCAAAACAGATGTTCAAGCCATTACACTGGACAATTGTAGCATATTTTGCCTATATGAGGAGTTTCTTTTAGCGTGCAAGCCACTTTGAAGGTCACCTTTTGCCTGAGTCAGTTTTTCATATGCTGTAAGTATTTGTATTCTATTTAATGAAGTTGGATCTTCTCACTAAATGTGCTGAAATCTAATCCTGGTTTGTTTGGGTTTTTTTTTTTTTTTTTAATTTTCTTAAGATCTTGGCTTTACTTGTAGCTTTGGACACTGAATTCCACAATTTAATTAGGTACCATGCGAAAGTATTTGCTTCTATCATTATTAAACATATTGCTATTCAATTTAATCACAGGTTTCTTTGTATTAGGAAGGAAAACAAATACGAGCAGCACCTGACTTTCTATCAGGTGCTTTCCCTGATAGAAAGTGTTAAGGAAAACAGGAGGTCAGAGTTAGAGCTTGATGAGGACATTCCTCTCCTGCCTAACAGCGATCTTAAATTGATGGAAATCCTAGTCCTAGATGCATCTAGAAATGGCTTGAAGATTATCAAGTGTTGATATAACTGGGCTAAAAGAAAAAAGAATCTGAAGCATTCTCATGATGTTCTGGAAGAAAGAATGCCACTTAAAGTATCATTTTAAAATGTCAGTTCATTGGTTGGCTTTCTCAAAATAATAAGGTGGACCTGAATGCCATTGTAAATTGAATCTGTGAAAACTAATGCAGGTCCAGCTGTTCTGTTTTAAAACTAGTTTCAAGGCACAAAAAAAAAGAAATAGGAAGACTTGAATCATTAAATATTTAAACTTAAGACAGTATGAATGCTGTAAGGTGAAGGCGTATTTTACTTGTCAATACATTTTTAGCTAGGGAAGGTTACTTAATGCAGTTAAGATTTCAATTATAGTTAATTATAAAAGCCCTGCAGCTGATAAGCCTTCAACTTTTAGTAAACTGAAACAATTTAAAGAAGAGCTGGTCAATGGAGCGAATTTACCCATGGCAGCACACACAATTATCATTATTATCTGGAACGATTCAAGGTGAGACTTCTTATTCCTTGAAGTACAAAAAGTAGTCTATCATGTGAAGAAAGCTGTGGCCGGGGGCAGGGCTCAGTCTAAATAGTACCTGTGTTATTTGTATTTAGCACAGCCAAACATTCATCATATTTACCAAGACATACACTGTAAAATTGGATTCATCTTCTAAACCATATGTGTGTTTTTAAATAAATGCAGTGCAGATTACCTAGTTAGAACTCCCTCTTGTTCTGTGTCAAGAAGTGCAACTTCAGCTCTCTAGTTATCTTAATGGTTTTCTTTCTGAGGACAAATAAAACATGATTCCTCTGGTGTTTCTGTCTCAAAGATGAGGTCACATCAGATCTGTAGAGAAGACATATAAGCAGAGAAATATTTGTTTAATTTTATACCTTCCCATTCTTCAAATCATTATGTATATGGTAGCTTCATTACTGTAAACAGGTTGAGTGCAAACATGTGCCTGCATAATATTTCTACTATGAGTCAATCCCACTGATTCAAAGTTGAAACTTGGAGTGTAATGGCAACACAGACATTTTCTTAGAGTATGGTAGCTAGAGCATGGTTTTTGAATCATTCAGAGAATAACAATGGCTAGCAGTGGTAAAAGTCACTAAAATCAGTAGTCTGACTCAAAGAAACAGGAGTGTCTGGAGTATTGAGGGACTGTGTAATTGCTGTGTAATTTTTTTCCAGTATCAAGCTGGTTTATAAAGATACAAATGGACTTGCCCTGTTTTTGTTTGAACATAGAAATAAATCTGTTTTTTTTTTTCCCCCTAACTTTCTTTTCTTTTTTAGCTTAAAAATACCACAACTATCAGTAAGTTTTTCTCTGCCTGTATAGAGAGTACTCATTGAATGTCTATTGTAAAGCAGTTTTCCAAGACCTCAATTGAAGGTCTGAATATAGAGGAAAAACATGTTCTAATGTGGTTTTGCTGTGCTGTCAGTAAATACTTTAAAGTTTTAAAAGTCTGAATGAAAATAGGATATGTCTCTGCTATTTTCCTCTTACCTATCAATTTAACAAATAAAATTACATTGAAAATGCACGCTTTCCAAACTGTATTGAGCAGGAATTGGGCTAGAAATAACACAGTCTTTAAGTTGTTATTGTATCAGAGAAAAGAATGTATGTACCCTGTTTTTTTCTTTTTTAGGTCATCTTCTAAAACTGTTGAGCTAAATTATGCTCCTGCTCCATCCTTGCTGAAAGTTCAGTGACTGTAGATAATGATGAATGAGAATTTAGGACATTTTTGTGTATTTTCTTGTTAGTCTGAATTCAGGCTATTATGGAAGCTTTAATGAAAGAACATGTCTGTAATTTTGTGTAACTACTGAATTCAGCTGGCAATGGTATATTTGAGAAAGCATGAAGGAGGGTTTGTCATGCAGGATCCAACAATTTAGTACTTTGTCTGCTTTAACAAAACCCTTCTGTCTGTATATTTTGATCTTGCAGACAATGGCCTTCAGACACAAAAACACAAGACGAATTGAAGGCCTTGATAGCAATGTCTGGTAAGTAATAGGAAAATATCTGCAAATTTCAGAAAATGTCTTTGGCTGATATATTTTCTTTCCAAATTGATAGTTATTGGCAATAAGAAGGTATGTAGCACTTACTATCGCTGCTGAAATATATTTGGCACTTCCTCAGAAGCAGTGAACCAAATTCTGTTAAAGGTGTGAATTAATTCTTATTCTTGAGCTGTAAATATTGGGCTTGGGCTTCTCTTCATCTAGTAAACCACTTAAGAGAAATATAACTCTTGGGCATGGTAGTATAGCTGACTTTCAAATTTAAATGTTAATTTTGTTGAGTAATGTATTTCAATTACAGTTGATTTTTGTTTAGCAAAGGAGTCAGATTTCTTTTTCAAGCCATTATACTTGTCTTTATAAGTTAGCTTATTATTTTTAATACACTTTTTTCTAGGTATTAAATTGGTCTTAAAGCAATATTGCCATCCCTGGTAAATATGGGATGTTGTTAGTTGGTGAAAACTCTGTTTTGGGCTTACATTAGTTGTATGTGTATATGTGTATATATACACACAATGTGTTTTAGTCATCCAGCCTCAAACTCATTTTTATAACTTTCTATCAATTTTTGACAGAGCTGTGATGCTATATGGTTTGTTTTGTTTTGTTTGGTATTTTGTTTTTTCTTTTAATCTTGTTAACATTTGGATAGTGAGGAAAGGGTGAAAGGCAAAGCTTACCCGTGAAGGGAGGAGAAAAAAATTCTTTGAGAATCTAACGTTTGTATCTGGCAGGATATTAGGAACAGTTAATGAACATCCTGAAACAGTCTGTTGCCTAAAATCACACACACAAAAAAATATAGCTCTCTGAGGTGACTAGAGAGTTTAAATGACACCTTCACTTGACAGAATCTAGCCTTTAAATCATTTAATATGCCTATTCTAATTAGGTCCACTTCACTTTGCAAAGAGGGTAGTGTTCCCTTTCTGTCCTTGTCCAGAGTTACTGTGTGTTTGTATCTGTGCACATCTGAGCACAGTTCTGCTGGCAGAATAGTTATTCTCTGAGTGCAGAAAGTCAACCTTTTATTGGGTTCCCTCTGACTCCTGTGGTTAATTACCATTCACTTAAACCTGTTTCTGCTGGTGTGAATATGGCAGTGAAATACCTTTTTTGCCTTTTAATGCTCATGAAGGAAAAGATAATTTAACCTCATGTTAACTTTAACATGTTTTTTCCCTTTAGGGTTGAATTTACAAAGGTGGCAGCAGATCCCTCAATTGTTAATCTTGGTCAAGGCCTTCCTGATATATCCCCTCCCAGCTACGTTAAAGAAGAGCTGGCAAGGGTAGCAGCAGTTGACAGACTGAACCAGTACACACGAGGCTTTGTAAGTACTGTGGAACTTGAGGACCCAAGTTCAGCAAGAGAACATGCCACAGAGGGAAAAAACCTGACTTTGTTTTAAATTAGTTTTATCTATAGGTCATTCTGTTACTAATAAATATCCTCTGTGTGGTCTTTTTCAAGGTGGAATCCTTCAGCAAGAGCAAAATATTACAGCACATGTGGGATAGATTGTCTTTGAAGAGTCAATTCACAGTTTAAAGAGTGTAAATTGTACATTTACTTCTGATTTTGGTCAGTGTAAACGTGAATCAGATGGAAATATTAGGTACCAGTTGAGACAACATCTCTAAGATCAAGAAAAGATTCATCCATAACATTTAGTAGATTTCAGTGGAGATTAGGAAATGATAAAAACAGTAAGTTTCTGCCCCTGGAAGATAGTCACTACCCATTATGTAAGTTGGCTTGTAGAGTTTGTCTTGAGCTGAGTATGAATGTGTGGCGTTTATCATTGTCCAAGGCAAGATATTCACGGGGACTTTACTGTTTGGTATGACCACTTCCTTGTTTGGTTTGTCTTTCTTATATTTTATGGTAAAGGTAAGCCATATTGCTCAATTGAGAATCATGTGTCAGGATTGCTACAAGACCCTAAGGAGTCTATCTAATATTTTTCAGCATGACCATGTTATGCACCAGTGATAGAAAAACATTGTAGAGACTGGTAGGCCAGTAATTGCATGGGTAGTTGTGGCATCATTGTGTATATATTTCAACATAACTTTTTACCTGTTCTCTGAGAATCTTCATGCATTAGAACAGATGGGGAGCAACAGTGGCCAGCAGCTATCACACCAAGCAGGGCAGAGGCCTCATCAGCCAGGGCCCAGTACCACGGCACCTGAGCAAGGCAGGCCCAGAGATGGTGGCTGAGGTCAGCCCAGATCACCAGGCAAGCCTGTGGTAGTGAGGTGAGCCTGAGGTCAAGCCAGGAAGTCAATCCACAGTGAGGTCGAGCAATGCTAACTAGGGTTAGACATAACCCAGTGATCACTGGGCAGGTCCATGGTGACAAGGCAGGCCTACGGTCAAGCCACAAAGTCAATCTATAGGTAGGGGCCAAGTTCAACAGGGTCCATGGCCAGGTACAGGCATGGCTGTAACTGAATTGCAGCCCAGCAACACTACTACATGGCGTTTAAATGAAGCCTTTGGATCAGGGGCACAGCTCTGGGTAGAGGCTCCAGGTGAGGCTGGTCAGGGCCATTAAGGCCTATTAGTGCACTCAGGGCCCTGGCAAGAACAGAACGGAGGAAAAAAAATCCCCAGTGAATGTAATCTCATTCCATCCCTCTCTGGGTCATTTTGTTTAATCCCCTTTAGCTGTGTGCAAAGAGTCTGCAAGCATGAAATAGATACGTATGTATATATATAAACCTCTCTCTATATATATACACTTGGAAGTATAAAGCAGTTATTTAGTGTCAGACACACAGAAACGATGGCTGGGATATAGTGAGCCTCTGGGCTAAGCATTAGTATGTTCTTCACCCACAATAAGGCACCTGAAAAGTCTTTGCTCCCCAGGCAGACAAGGTTTTGCAGGAGTCTTGCCACAGGGGGAAAGATTACAGAGAGAATGGGCTACAGTCTACCTTCCAGCAAATATTCAGACTGATTCTCTAAACCAATTTGCAAATCAGTCATAAATATCATTTTCTCAATGCATGCAGTTATTCAATATTTACTTCTGTCACTTGGTTCTCTGTTTCCAAATAGTCTGATAATTCCCATGGTAATTATGAACATTTGCAGATATATTATGCTGTAGAGAGCAATTATTGATAAATTTTTACCAATACTCCCATTTTCAGCCTTTGCACTTCCTCTACAAACTTCTGCACTTCTAGGGTTTTTGAGCACAAGTGTTTGTGGTACCAAATGGGAAGGATGAGTATGAATGATGCACATAATTGAGACATTGTCTCAGCTCTCTGCGGCGCTTGGACCTCTCATTGACTGTAGGGCTATGGTCTGTAGAGTGACATAACGAGGCTTGCGTGGTGCAGCATTCCTGTGTAGCTGACACACTCATGGCAAGAAATGGATGTCATTTGAATCAACAATGACTTGTGAGCCTTAATTTATGTTAATGTTCTTGTTTACAGAAGGGTTCATGATTTTATGCCTTGTATGTAGAGGTACAATGTTCAATACTTAAGAGAATGTTTTTTCTTACGTAGTTGCATTTTCTCACTGGGCTGTTTTCTATTTCTACCCAGTATCCAAAAAGAAAAAAGATTTCACAGCAGGAAACGTGTAGTCTTCCTGAGTAAACAAAATTGTGTGTTCTTATATCAGCATTGCATGTGGTCTTTGTTGCATGCTTGTTTACTCACTCTTTGCACATTTTGAGAAGAGTATGTTAACTGCCATGTCCCTGTAGGGGACACAAATGGTGAATGGTGCTCTGAGATTTGGATATGACTAGGAATCATCATTCTGATCGTAAGTGCTGTTTAGCAGCAGTTTATAAACAGAACAAGATTTCCCTTGCACCAAATACCTTTTAGTTGAAAGATAAGGAAAGAAACAGAAGTAGCTTCAGACAGACATATAGGCAGGTGAGAAAGAGACTCTAAAGGGGATGAGGATGAATTGGTGTCAGAGTATTCCCTTCTCTCCTACTGTCTCTTGTCTTAGCTATCCTATAGGGTACCTGGAGCTATCCTGAGATGTGATAATAAGATAGAAATTAAAAAGCATCAGGTATACAAAAAGAATTTCCTAGTAGATATGAATAAATTGGAACCACTTTTCTTCCCTAATGTGCAAAAACTTTAAACCATGCTATCTCTCAACAGACATTAACACTGAGGGCTCCTCTCGTATTTTTCTATTTCAAAATGTATTATTTTGATATATGTGGAGAAAAACCCAAACATAGGCTTTGTACATTGTCAGGAACACACCAGTCAGCTGCATTTGTTTGCTTTAAACAGGGACATCCATCACTGGTGAAAGCCTTGTCTCAAGTGTATGAGAGAGTTTGTGGAAGAAAGATTGATCCTCTCACAGATATCCTGGTGACCGTGGGAGCTTATGGATCTCTCTTTAGTACAATACAGGCACTAATTGAAGAGGGAGATGAAGTAAGTTTTTATTTGAAATACTCACTGAAATGAGAATTTGCCTGTTTTTTATTTGTCCACTTTTAAATATAAGTTCAAGTTGGAGTTTCTTTCTTATCTCCATTGATTTGATTTGTTACAGTTGTACATCTGACTATATTATAGTTTCAGAAGCTGTGATCAGGAGATCATCCTTTGGATGTCTTCACCAAGTTAGAAACCCCTTTCTTTCATACTTATGGTACCTGTAGCAGTTTCTTTATCACTGTTACTGTTAGGTGACAAAATACACACTGGTTTCTTATTTTGAGAAAACTGCTGGGCTGTTGTCTGCAGCAGAAGACTAAGGGGGACATGAAGTGTTGTTGGTGTTTGAATAACCTTTGTGTATCAAGGTCTGTTTTGGCCTATTGCATGGTAGCAGCATAGGTAGCAGAAAAGCAGAAGTGTCCTTTAAAGAAAGAATTGTTAATTTGCTGTACTAGCTGTAATGATTCATCCCTTCACTACTGATGTCTGCCTTTTTGACAGTGATATTAAAAGTCATTTTGGGGGGATGTTTGTATCTGTAGCTGACAAGAACTTTGTGTTATGCATTTTGCTTTCAATGTTTTGTTGGTTTCACTTCTATAATGTATTCTCATCTGTGTCTTTTCTTCCTTTTCTGTTGTTCTGATATTCACTTCTATTTTTTGTAACAGTTCTCTGCTATTAAGTTTTGGGTTGTTTTTTTTTTTGTTTTGTTTTCCTATTATCTAGACTCTATGCAGTTTACCTTGAATTTGTCCTTTTTTTCTACCTGAAAGTTTTCTTCTGATGAAATTTGAGGACTTAAGCCATTCTTCTGGGATTTCTGGATACTTGGAAGTCACAGAATTTCATGGGGGGAATTAGGGCAGCTGTGCTGTGGTTCAACAATTTGCTGTTGCTGTCTCCCATATTTACCTTGCACCTTCAAATCTCTGTGTAGGACCAAAACATTCCTAAAACTATATCTTGATAGTTATAATGTGTAACTATAGAACAGCCTGTGTGTGTTGTCAAAAATGAGTAATGCTTGTCATACTTAGACCGAGGGCATCATTATGTGATGTTCTTAAAAGGAGGAACATTCTGCAATGTTAGGATGCAGTGCCAGAAACATTATCAAGTTATGCTACCAACGTAGATTTAGAAAGATGATGGTATCGTGCACAGTAAATTCTCTGTTTCTGATACTGATGATTGTAATTTCAGGTAATAATAATAGAGCCGTTTTATGACTGTTATGAACCAATGGTGAAGATGGCGGGTGCAAAGCCTGTTTTTATCCCACTGAGACATGTGAGTAGCTTTTTAAAAATTATTTATCATATAAAGTTTCTTATCCATACTCAGTACAGTTTGGTGAACAACTTATAGATGATGCTTTTCTGTATAGTTTTTCATAATATCCAATTATATAAAAATTAGATAGGTTGCTATAGAGTAAGTCTGAGACAATAATAATCCAAAGCACATAGAATATTTTATTAGTGTTGGAAAAGGTGGGACAATGTTTCTCATTTACTTTAATTTGAGCATTCTGAAAGCTGATCAGAATTCTTTTTTGGATGTCATCAGAAAATGTTTTCAGTGCAAATAAGGGAAGGAGGATCACATCAGTGCAGTTTCTGTATCTGCTGGTTTTCAAAAGATTTGGTTTCTGATCCCTTCAGCAACTCAGATGACAGAATATAATTTATTTTCCAAAATCTGCTTCCTAAATAAGGAACGATTATGCAGTAGACATATTTGCTATGCATACTAGAATTACTATTTCCTTTATGGGTAAAAAGTAATTATTTTGGCATGGGTTAATTTTCAAATTGGTACTGCTGGCATTATGCTGGCAGCTTGCAAGGGTAGTTCTGGATGGGTAGTTCTGGATGCAAAGTGTTGATCCTGTTACTGTTGCCTTGGGTGACTGACAGCCTTGCATGGGGAGGGCTGAGGGGCTCTTTAGGCAGGACTGTTGCATGAACACCATGACATCAGGACAACACAGAGTGACAGAACCTCCAGGACTGCAGTGGAAGTAGATGAGACTGTTCCCCTGGATGCCCTCCTTCTGGGGATGTTTTGAATGACAGGGTTCCTCCAAGTATTTTCTGTTTCACACCCTTGTTTTTGGTCTTGCCCTCTCCCAGTAACGTGCAAGTGTCAGAAAGTTAGTGTGGTCGTGTTCTTTATTCGCAACAGCAACTGGGCCCAACTTCTGTTGTCCTTGTGTAATACCACAGCAACTCCAGAGCCTCAGTGGTGCAAATTTTTAACTGTTTGAACATTTTCATATAGGCAAGGAGGAGGAAAAGACCTTGAATCTCTCCATTGGTCATCAATCTTTCCAGCCAGGCATGTGCACACTTGTTCTAGTGGCTGGGAAGGCCATAAACTCTCCTGTCGTGTGACTGGGCTTCCTGCATTACGCACAGTTATAATCAGCATGTGTGTAACCAGATCCTGGAAACCAGTTCCTGGGCAGGCTTTAAGACAGACAGTGGCCAGGAGTGGACAGACACTGTCATAACAATTTACCTTGCTCTTAGCCTCCCTACCTGTTCCTACAAGTGCCTTCTCCCAGGAGAGCAGGACAGATTGGATAGGTTGTCAAGAATGATTATGAAAGTGTCTTAAGAGTGTAACCGGGCATCTCTGTTTAGGCTGTAACATGTTCTATTCAAGTAATGCATCAATTTATTGGGTTTTTTTTGGGTTTCGGGTTTTTTTTTTAGAAAAATTATGGAAACTCTGCATCTAGTGCTGATTGGGTCTTAGATCCTGCTGAGCTTGCAAATAAATTTAATTCCAAAACAAAAGCAATTATTCTGAATACCCCGCACAACCCTATAGGCAAGGTAAGAGTCCTGCTTTAACACTACTTTAATTTCAGAGTATGCCTTAAATGCTATGATTAATGCATTGTCCCTTACTTTCTTGTATCCCAGGTGTTTACCAGAGAAGAGCTTCAGGTAATAGCTGATCTCTGTATTAAACATGATACTCTGTGCATCAGTGATGAGGTGTATGAATGGCTGGTGTACAAAGGAAATAAACACATTAAAATAGGTACTGATTTTTTGTGATATCTTAGAAATGGTTGTGGAATGTTGTAAACGGGCCTCTCGGAGATAGTGATTGCTGGAAGGAGCTCAAACTTCAAGCTTTGACTATTGTACAATGTTTAGACTCTAAGGAGAAGAGATACTCCCTTTTCTGAAAAATATTTTAAAGAATAATTTCCAAATAGAATTTCCAAAAGCTCTTAAGTGACTTTGTAGTAGATATCCATAGAAACCAGTGGGACTGATGCTCATAAATCAGTTATGATCATCTGAATATCTCATCCTTATTCAGTTAATTTGTTGGCCATGACAGGTATAGCTGCTGTTCACGTATGTATATTGGACTGTGCTTTGGTGAATAATTAAGAGAAGGAATAGGGATTAAAACTTAATTCTTAAAGCATTGTAGAGATAATCAATGAGGGAAATGCGTAATGAGGAACACAATTATTTTTGCTCCACTACTTATAAAAAGAAAAACGTATAAAGGTTAGTGTGGAGATAGTGCATGAACACTGTCCCGTCAAAGTGCAGAGGCAGTGTTAAATAATGGACATAGAATTCAGTGAAGTAAGCCACTGCATGGGCAGTGTGAAAGCATGCTAAAGTCTTCAGGCAGTATTGCTACAGGGGTAAAGTACCATTGCAAGAACAACACAGAAAACCAGATACGATATGATGACCCTGTCCCTCTTGTTTTACTTCTTGATAAAAGTTTCACTGAAGTTAGTGGAATTACTCCCACTGTCTCAGAACAAGGGAATCTAGTGCAGATTACTGAACTCCTTCCCCAATACTGCAGTGCTACAGCTAAGCATTTATATGAAAAGTTTCTAGTGTGGTAGTCTTGAATTGGATCTGCTGATGTATTTAGCTGGCTGAAGTCCAAAATATTTTGTTTCTGATGGTAGCATCTTGTGAACTCTCTGTTATGACTGATTTATTGTCATATGAAGGCACATTTCAGTCGTGCAATAGAGACATTTAGTTGAGATTAAACAATGAAATCAAGAGACATAAATATAAGTTAGACATGAAAAGCTTAGCTTTTTTCCTGGCTTTACCACTGACTGGGTGCTGAAGACTTTGCTTCTGTGCCTCAATTCTGTATCTGTAGAGAGAGTGGAGGCTACATCATTGTAAAAACTGAATCTTCTAAATAATAAAAAGGAAATTATATCTAAATGCCCTTGCTGATTATACAGCTACAGTACATTAATGGTATTGGCCATGCATAAACTATGAGTCTTTTTTGAAAGTGGCTTAATTTCATGGCTGTTGTGGTGCCTTGGTAGTGATACCTTCTTGAAGACCTTCAGACATGAAAGAAGGGGAACGTTTTGGGTACGTTCATGTGATAGTAATCTGAGTCAGTGCATCCTAACAACTTACCACAGTAACTGATAATGTGTGGCTTATCATGTCCCAATTGCAAAGTAAAATGAGTTAAATTAAAGCTTTCTTCACGGGTTTAGCAGGTTCATATAGCATAGTTCATGCAAATATCCTCAGAACCAAAATCTCTGTGGGTGGTGTAAGGTATTGTTTGTTAGTATCAGTATTGTAATTTCAGTACTTCAAAACATTTCCAGTTGAACAAAAAGTATTCTGGAGTTTAGCATAAAATGTAAAAGTACCATGTACTGATAATTCAAGTTAAAGCCTGGACAGTTTGTCATCTAGGTTTAGGTACATATTCTCTAACAGATCCCATGATATCATCTTTAACTTTAGTGTCAAAATGACTATGGAACCTTCAGGGTAACACTGTAAACAATAACATTGTTTCAGTAAAAGAAGCAAGATCTGCTCTTTTTAACTTAAGTTTATTAGAATTTTTTTTTTTTAAGTCTACAAAATACAAGAAAAAATTAAAATGTTATTTCACAATTTAAAAACTCTTGCTCTTGTGTTTCCAAGTTAACCTCTACATATTCCATCAAATGCAGTGACACTTTTTTTGTGGGACACGCAAAATGCATATTGCATCAATTCACAAATTGATGGTCTGATGGTGGCTCCTTAATACAATTTAACAGGGGTTGCTAGCCTACATATCATAAAATTAGTACAGTCTTGTGCAGTCACTGAAGCAGTTTTCTGTAGTATAGAGCACTTCATCATGTTTCTCATCGTTATCTGGTTTCCGTAAAGCCATGGACCTCCTCTAAGTAATGATTAGGGTTGCACTCGTGGATTTAGAGATTGCGTCTTGTAACTGAGGATTCTGAACAAGCCTCTCAACAAGCTGAGTGCCATCCCAGGTAACAGGCTTATTATATGTATTATTTTGCACTTCATTAGTTTTTAAATTGTAGTCAGACTTGGTTATGGTGTCATATAATGACATTGCCATATGGCATGGAGAAATTTCCCTCTCTGTTTAAAGCTCATTGCTTGTAAAAGCAATAGAGCTGCTGCTTCCTCTGTGCCCTTTTGCTGCTGCTACTGTTTGAAATGCTGTTACATTCCATCTCCAAGGTTGAATTCCTATGACTATGTGGCAAAACAGTCTCACTAGAGGGCATCAGCTTTGAAATTCAATTCTTTTTGCAATCTGTGAGAGCTGGTTTGGTTGCCTTTACAAAGTGATCTATACTTTTGACCTAGCTAGCTAGAAGATGCATCTGTTCAAATTGCCTTTTTGTTTTCAAGGTCACAGAGCATTTGAGTGAATATGGGTGGGCTAATAGGAATGTTTCTTTCCTGCTGTTTTGTTTCTCTTCTTGGCAAGTGTGCTCAAAAAGTACAATACATGTTTTCAAATAACTGCAAAGACTTAAACCATGTCTAATGCAGATAACTGCTGCAAAAACTTCCTTATGAAATTCAGTGGTTTTATTTGGAAAATCTTTGTTCATTGGTCTCCCTAGAGAGGGTATTTAACAATTAACAGATTCATTGGTAGTAGTTCTAGTGTACAGTTGAGGTGGAGCCAGATGTTGTTGGCCACAGCAATTGCAGTAGTGGTATGACCTTGTCTAACTTTGTGTCTCTGACTTCAGTGTGTCTTGATTTCTCTGTTTCTGTTGAAAATGAATTAAGTTAAAGAGTCCAAATAGAGCTCCCCTGAAGCAGTGTACACAAAAAAAAATTTCAAACTGCAGGAAGAGAGCTTTGCTCTGTCATCTCCTTGGAAAGGAAACAGGATTTTGGTCTCCTACCAGATGCAAATAGAGGGACAAGGACAGTCCTCCACACATCCCCTAATCCTTGCAGACATCCTTAGCTCACTGCCCAGGCTGTTCAAATTATATAACAAAATGTAATTTATTTATTCGCTCTGCTGGTTTTCTGATTCTTGTGGTGTTTGGTTCTGGGTTAGAAGTCTTAGTAATTATTCTCTTTTTCTGATGTCTGGGTTAGCCAGTGACACTGAACTGGACAGTTCTATTAAAATGGCTTGCAGTGCCTGAGTTAATGTTGTATATGGTGCTATTATCAGGCATCAGAAATAATGCTGTCTTGAAATGATGTGTAGTCACTTCTTAGATCATATCTTTCTTATGAATAATTATGCATTTTAGCTGAGGATAACTAACACATCGTTTTCACAATGTGTGCCTCTCATTTTCTGCTTCTTCTTTTTCCTTTCATGAATCCTTAACTTTTATACCAAAAAGCATTGGCCCATATATCCTTTCTTATTTGTTACAATTGCTATAATTTTAGAATATTCTCATTGCCTGCTTAATATGCTGCAATGATATATCAACATCTAGCTCTGAGCTAGGGGCAGTACAGTTTTTCTAACTACATGGAATATGTGAGTGCACCTGTACCAAATTAATTTTATTTTATATACAGCTACGTTGCCAGGTATGTGGGAAAGAACAATAACTATAGGAAGTGCTGGAAAAACATATAGTGTAACTGGCTGGAAGGTAAGAAGAATCAATATAAAAGAGTTCAGTTACATAAATAACAAATGCACTTATTACATTAAAAAAGTCTCCGTTTTTATGACCTGTCTTTTGAAAGCTTCTAGCAAATTTCCATGTCTCCAAAACATGAAGATAGCATTCACTTGGAGCAATTACCTATCTTGAACACCCATGTTTTAATTCTCTTCTTGTGTCTAGATTAAATAAGCTCTTGTGAGAAAACAATACTAAAAAAATAAACACAGTATGATTTGTTCAAAACCAGTCAAGATTCTTGGAGAAAATATGGATATTATAATATTTTAACTTTCCAGTTTTGTGGTGAATTTTTTCAGATTGTGGCAGTGGTGTGTTTTAGAATGGCTTATATTTCTGTAAAATATTTAATGATAATATTTTCATTGACTTTAAAATACATATCAGCAAGTAAACAAAAATATTTAACCATTTGGCCACTAAATTCTTTAATCACCTGTGTTCAAACTGAACCATGACATATATGATACAGTAGTGAGCTTTTGTTTTATGCTCAAACAGCCTTTGACATAGGAGCTTATGAGATGAAAAGATTCTAAAACAATTAGAAATAACATTCCTAATAAATGCTCAGTTTGATTTCTAACTCTTGTTATATGAAGAGTTAAAAGTTTGCTCAGTACCCTATGAGAGATAAGGATAAGTGAAACTGTAACTGTTGTCTCAAATCTAGAATTTTTTAAAAGGCATCATTCAGCAACCTTTGTGTGAACCAGCTCTCTTCTGAATTCCTTATCAAAACAAATTTACTGCCAATTCTTAAAACAGAAAAACTTGAGATGCCTGATTTTAATTATTTCTTAATTTTTAGTAACACCACTGCTGTAAGTATAACATATGCATGCTTTCTTCCCTTAGCTTGGTTGGTCTATTGGCCCTCAGAACCTGATTAAGCATTTGCAAGTTGTTCACCAAAATACACTGTATACTTGTCCAACTCCACTCCAGGTAGGTACAGATGGGGCAGAGGAGGTTATTTTCTGGTGTAGCAAAACTGTAGGCCTCACTGTAATAAAACAGTAATCACAACAATTAATTTTTAGTTGTCAAAATACATCTTCTGGGGTGCAAGAAGAGGAGACAAATTTTATAGGCTCACCAGATATTTAAAAAAAAATAAAAATCTTGCAGATTCTTTCTTTTCACCTGCAAACTGCTGCTTCTTGCATAAAACATGACAATCTTAGTAGTTTTCTAGCAAATACAAATAAAAGTTGTTGCAATAAGATCTTGTTTACTGAGCATTGTCTCTGTTTACTAGTTTCTACTATTCTATGATACATTATTATCAGTAATTTAAACTTAGCTTCAATTCAGATTGTAAACCTTGTGTCAAGGACTGTGACTTCTGTATATGATTAGTGCCTAGCAAATGATTGGGTGCTTTGGATGTTGCCACAGCACAAAGTAACAAACAAATGACACTCTTGGACGTAGCCTGTGTCATTTGTGTATGCTAATTTGCTTAATAAGGGCCAGAATTTAAGAAGAATCCAGTAGGAAGTGTGTGAGTGCCTGTGAGTTTACTGAGTGTCCATGAGTACTTTGAACACTGATTACATTTCCAGGAGGCTTTGGCACAAGCATTATGGATAGACTATAAACGCATGGATGACCCAGACTGCTATTTTTACTCACTGTCTCGAGAGCTGGAAAGCAAGCGTGATCGGATGGCGCAGCTGCTTCAAGAAGCTGGACTAAAGCCTGTCGTTCCAGATGGAGGATACTTTATGATTGTTGATGTTTCTACATTAAGTTAGTATGAAGTTTATTAAAAAGGGTTTTGAAAGCAAATCTTATAGTTAAGCTAAAAACGCAACTTTCATTTTAAACTATATTCTCATTTCATGTTTGAATAATGTCAGAAGTACTAATTGGGACTGAAATTTTCTTTTTTACCTTAATCTGGGAGGTAGATTTTATAAGCTTCAGCAAAGCCTTTGTTTGTGATCCTGACTACTGTCCATGTTTTGCAAAGCTTTGTCAGGGTTTTAGGGAGGACAAAAGAGGTGGATAAAAATTTGTATTTTCAAAAGGTTTATGATTATGAAGAAGTTTGAGAGCCAAGCACCTGGCTTAATATTCTGAGTTTGTACCATTTGTACTTTCCCCTTTCTGCTTTTATTTGTTTGTTTGTCTGTCTTAATCTGAAGTCATACCCTGAAGGCTCTTTGAGGCATTCTGATTTCTAAACACCGTAAAATGCTACCAAAATTTACAAAACCTTTTGGAAATTCAGGTTACGGTAACTTTGGACGAAGAATTCCCACAGGGGAACATTTTCTAGTTCCACATTTTTTACTGACTGGTCCTAATGGCACTTGTCATTCACACAGAAATGTTTAAACCTAGCTGGCCCTCGCAGTGCTGCCATATGTCAGAAAATTTTAGGTACCTCAGTTTCACAGATGAGAAAACTGCAGTTGCAGTGATTATTGATGTCCATGCAATAAATATACTCTTCAGTACCCTCCGCAGTCCTGATCCCTCAGTAACCCAGACTTGAGGACTTCTTGGAGTAGTGCGTGGCTTTCTTCCAAGCTACATGTCTGAATTTGCTTTGAATGGAAAGCAAGTGCTCAGGTCAGAATGAAATGGTTCAATCTGTTGACCTATTTTAATTTTTATAGTATAATTTTGAAATTATATTTAAAAATAAAAGCTACATCTTTATTCTTAAGTATTAACTATAATATAGTGCTGTTAATGAATGCTTTCCCAATGGAGTCTAGGAAATCTTACAAGATGTTTGTTTTAAATTTAATTTTTTTAGATGTAGATCTCTCTGATGTAGATGAGAAACAACCTTATGATTATAAATTTGTCAAGTGGATGATAACATCTAAGGTAAGGTGTCTTAGTCATACTCTAGTTTTAGAAACGCTTTTCTGTTGAAAGCAAGAGCAGTGAAATCGTATTTATTAAATAATGTAATAGAGATATTTCATTCAAAATATTATTTGGTGTTTATAGTAATTGCTGATAATGATGTAGCTAAAATACTGCTAAATATGCTGAAAATGTACCCTGTAGGTTTGTGTTAAGTCCCGGCACTTTTCTTTCAGCATGCTTAAATGCTAGTTGTACAAAAGTACCTATGAAATGTTTTGCTTAAGAGAAGTAATTTGAATTTGGTAAAGCCTGGCTAATGCATACAAAACTGAACCTTGTCTTTCCCTCACATGTTGGGAGGGCGAGTTCTACAAAACAGCATAGTAAAATCACCATGCTTAAAACAGATTTTTTTATACATATATAAAATAAGCAAATAATATTTCTGTTTTATGTTTCAGAAGCTGTCAGCAATTCCTCTTTCAGCATTCTGTGGTCCTGAGACAAAAAGGCAGTTTGAAAAGTACATACGCTTTTGCTTCATTAAGGTAAATTTGTATCCTGGGAAGAATTAAGACTCCTAAAAATCAATGCAGTATAGAAATCTGCAAGAGACTGATTGTCACATTTTGACCAGGATCTCCTGAGTTGGATAGCTTTAAGAATAGGATGTTAGCTTGGTCTAAAATTCAGCACCAAGTAGCTTCAACTGTCTTTTTGCTGAGGCACTTTAAACCATAGATGTGGCTAGCTTGGCTAAGAAGGGAAAATAGCAGAAAACAACTGGGTAGGCAACTGTTGGTTTTTTACAAACATTCTTGAACAGTGGTGACAGTGAAAATAAATGACACAGCTATCAATTAAAGTGGGTTCTAGAATCCAGAGCAGAGAATGATAGTATAGCAGAGTGGTATACCCCATGCCCATTCAGTTTCTAACAACAAAAACAATGAAAAGGTCACCTTCAAGTTGAGCTCACTTACCTGAAAATACATAGGGTTCCACATGAGCTCAAAATTACAAAAGAAAACAAAGACACAGGAAGTTATCTTACATGGTTTTTGTGAATTGGCTGACTTGCCATTTTGTGAGCACCTCCTTTTCACATATTCTTCCTCCTTTTGAATCTGTTCTTGAAAAGACTGAAAGACTTGGGGGACAGCTTTGATGAGCTCGCAGCCCTAAGATATTCCCCAGTTGTTCTGTAACAGAGTTGGCATAATGGAACATGTGCAACTCCTTAACTGTTCTAGTATAAAGATCGCAGCCTTAACTTGAACCAACAATGAAGGGGAGTCTCTGCTCGTTGTTACTTAGCTCTTTGGATGAGGTATAAAGACTATGGTATAAACTGAGCCAGTAACAACCAGGATGAAACTTGCTGGTTGTAAATGTGGCTTGCCCAGGATGAACAGCGCTAATCATGTCAAGTTAAGGACTACTTGTATGACTCACCAGGGTTGTAGCCAAGCCACACAACTGGACAGTGGATAGATTACCCATATTTAGAGGGATTATGTTTAAGCAATTCAGAGCATAACTTGGTTGCGTGGAGATTTAAACATCCCAACTGTACACATAAAGATTAGGAAACTATGCTAGCGTGTAGAGCTGCCAAATACATCACTGCAAAAATGCCAGACATTTATATAACAAGTGTTCCTTTCATTAAATTTGATAGTATGAATGCTGAGAAAATGATGTATTTTAAATATACCTAATAAATATTTGCAAGGAATCAGCACTGAATTCTTTGTGTAGTCTAGATCTGTAGCTGTAACTGTTAATGAAAAACTGACGGACAGATATTTACAGGATGCAAGTGCAACTGCTAAATATTGATTTGGGATGATACAATAACGAATGCTACTCTCTTTTTCCAGAACTCCATACTTGCAGTACTAGTGATATTCCTTGTTTTGCAGGAAGACAGCACACTAGATGCAGCTGAAGTGATTCTGAAGAACTGGAATAAACAGACAGCCTGATTTTTCTTATTAACTCTTCCATCTGGTATAATTATCTAACAGTAGGGCTTTTTTAATTGCAAATTTAAGATCAAATTACTTAATACAATACAGAATTAATATGACATTGTGAATAACTTTGTGCTGCCACCTGCTGAGGAGTTAAAACAATGATTTACTGAAATATGTGTAATGCGACTCAGAGGTTATTTTCAGTCTTTTGAAAATAATTTACTTTTTTCCTAAAAAAAAATCTATGAGATTTACTTCTTTTACTGTAAGAGAAAAATGAGTAGGACTGTAAAATAAATAGATTATATAGGTATTGAAAAAAGTGGGAGGTGTTTTTATGAGATAGTATAGGAACTAAGGCTAAGACTTAAACATCATGGTTTGTGAAACCCAATAGCCTGCAGTGGAGGAAAATTAAGGTATACCTCATATCAGATAATTGCAGTAACTTTCTAGATACACACCTGCCTACCCTGTCCATGCACAAATTGCATAAGTTTAAATAGAGTGATCGAGTTAAATTAATTCAGTGTTAATACAATAGGGAAGATTGAAAAGTGCTAAATTGCACAATTACAATTTTATTTTCCCACAATAGTCACGTATGCTGTTCTGAAAGCGTCAGTCCTCAATAAAATTATAGAAGTGGCATCTAGAATAGGAACTCTATTTACTCTGAATCTTGGGATGGTCCTATGCTAGGACAGGAGTTGGACTAGATGATTCTTGTGGGTCCCTTCCAACTCACAACATTCCATGAGTCTACTCATGCCTACCTATTTATTATATGGATGAATCTACAAAGCAAAATAGACACTCCCATGACACTGGGGAGCTGTGCTGTTGCAGGAACTAAGAGGGTACTGCAACAGTCTGTTGAACTGCATGATAATTTGGGAAAAGAAAATCTAAAATAGTCTACCACTTTAATTCAAAAGCAAATTTTTATAAAATTAAGCTTTTTTTTCTTGCATAAATACATGTTAAAAACATAGGCTTCTATGAAACATTTGTATGATTATGTGAAACAGATTTTTTTTATTCCTTCAGCCTCTGAAGTGATACAAAATAATAAAATATTTGACTTTTGGTTTCTTTTCCTTGAAACAGATGCTTCTCAATGCAGTTAAACCTTATGCAAGTAATATTATTTTCATCATTGTTATATCCAAAAAGTTTTAAAGATCATTGCATCATGCTTCTCTTGAAGATAACACCTACAGAGCACAATTCTCTATGTTTTAAAACTTTTTCTGCAATCTAAGATTTTCTTGAGATGTCTGGGTTGTTAGCATGTGAGCACGTACAGAATTGGGTTATGTGGCCTCACAACAGTAGTAAGGTATTAAGGGTTCTTCTGTTCACCTCTCTGCATAGTTTTCATTGGTCTGCTAAAACAAAACAAAACAAAAAAAGCACTCCACTGCTTCCAAAAGACTTGATGTAACGCTCTTAAATTACTCATTGCCAAATGGGACCCCCTGTGTAAAATGAGTCTAGAATATGCATGAAAGACAGATTATATGCAAGGCTGAAGAGGAAATTAAGAAAATAATAGCAAAATAATTCTTTCATTGTTATGCTTGACTGTTTCAAGTATCTCATTAGTATGCTAATAACTTACCTGTGAAAATACCAAATATGAGTTGGGGAACAGAAGTGACCAATGTTTAAAGATAGCTCTGCATTGTGTATGTGTGCAGAGCATTGTGCACTGGTTTTGGCTGGATAGATTTACATTTCTTCATAGTAGCTTGTATGGGGCTATGTTTTGGGTTTGTGCTGAAAACTGTTGATAACACACATGTTTTAGTTACTACTGAGCAGTGCTTACACCACATCAAGGCCTTTTCTGCTCCTCAGGCTGCCCTGCCAGCAAGTAGGCTGGGGGGCCCAGCTGGGACAGCTGACCCCAACTGACCAAAGGGGTGTTCCATAAACCATTTCCTGGTTTAGTCTGGAGGAGGCTGAGGGGAGACCTTATTGCTCTCTACAACTACCTGAAAGGAGGGTGTAGTGAGGTGGATGTGGGTCTCTTCTCCCAAATTACAAGTGATAGGACAAGAGGGAACAGCCTTAAATTGTGCCAGGGGAGATTCAGATTGGATATTAGGAAAAAATTCTTCACTGAAAGGGTTGTCAAGTATTGGAACAGGCTGCCCAGGGAAGTGGTGGAGTCACCATCCCTGCAGGTATTTAAAGGACGTGTAGATGTGGTAACTGGGGACATGGTTTAGCGGTGAACTTGGCAATGCTGGGTTTATGGTTGGACTAGATGATCATAACCATCTTTTCCAGCCAAACTATTCTATGGTTCTATGATATGGTGACATGCTCAGCAATAAAACTGGGGGGACAAGGTTGGCAGGGGCTGGCACTGCTCGGGGACTGGCTGGGCATTGGTTGGTTGGTGGTGAACAGTTGTTTTCATTTGCATCACTTGTTTTTCTTGGGTTTTATTTTCCTCTCACTTTGATTTTTTTTTCCTCTTTTCCTTACTTTTTTCATTATTAATATTTATTTTTCATTATTAAACTGTTTTTATCTCAACCTACAAGTTTGTCTTGCTTTTGCCCTTCTAGTTCTCCCCTCATCCCACCGCAGGGTGGGGAGTGAGTGAGCAGCTGTGTGGTGCTTAATTGCTGGCTGGGTTAAGCCACGACCCTTGTGTTACAGGACACATTGTATTAGACTTGAGTAGTTTAAATTTCTTTTTTCCTATTTTGTGAAGGTGCTGTAATGTGGTAATCTTTTTGTTTCATCAAATGTCTGAACACATAAGATGGAGCACAGAAATTAATTAACATACTGAGAATAATTCAGCTGCTCTGGCTATTTATTGTTTCCTTCATTTGCTCATTTGAAGTATTTGAGTGACACCTGCTATTTTAACAAAATCAACAAACCATTACAAAGGACCTTCAGATATACAAATAAGAACCAGTGACTTGTTTTCATTAATGTTCATTGTGTTTGCAAAGGCATCTGAATATCCCATTGCATTATTGTTGAAATTAAGCTGGTAATATTAGCCATGTAAGAATTGCAATTTAATTACACATTTTTATTGCTGACAGTAGCTAGCATGAGATACTTCGGGTGAAATCTTAACAAACTCCAGAATGACCAATTAAGTAAGTTTTAAAATAGGATTATTGTTGTAACTACAGTGATGGGAAAGAACAGATACAGCTGGGGACAGCAAGGTGAACTTTCCATAAGTTATTACAATAATCTCTTGTTGACAGAGAGTATTTAATAGTGGTATTCCCATCTGTCTTATCAACCACTTTTTTTTCCTGCTGCTTGTGGACAAAGCACTTGAAAAATTGCTGCAGGCAGGGAATAAAGAAACACTGAGATATGATCTATCATATTTTTTGCAACATTTCTGAAAATAATTGTCTTTCTGGGGTGGAAATGAAACACTTTCGATTCTAGTTAATGAGAATAGCTTCAGGAGGGACCTGCTGTTGACAGTGATTGCCAGCAGATCATCTTTTTTGTAGAATGGATTATCTGAGAAGCCAGGGCTAACCTGGAAAGCTTGATGGGACTGACAGTGCTGATGGGGCACATCTGTTGCAGACACTGCTACATACACATTTCAGAGGTTATGGGGAAACTGAATATCACATGCTGTATTCACATCGACGCTGATTTTTTTTTCATTACTATTTCATCTGTTGGGTTTTTTGAGCATTTGTGAAAAAGGTCATTGCAAGTGGAAAAAGAGAAGCTTTAAATTTACTTGTATCTTAGCATCTGTGTCTTCTAATAGTTCAGCTTCTTTTTATTCCAAAAGGTATATATATATATTTTTTTTTTTTAATCTAAGGAGTATGTTGGCAAGTTCTAATTACCTCGTTTTCAACGAACACATAAACATTTCAGTCAGCAGAAAAATGTTAAGAAGTTGTGTAATAATGGATTTGACTCAATATTAACAAGTATTATGAGAACTTTTTGAACCTGCTGAATTTCCTTCTTCTTGTTACATAGTGGAGACATGCTCTTAAGTGGTGTGAACAGTCTTTTGCATCTGATTAATCGATAGCCAATTTACAACTGTTCAGAAACTTCAATACTGATCACTTTTAAGGCAGTGAAGTAATGACACCTTCTGAAATCTGTAGACCTTCCTGTCTATTCATCCCTCTTTATCAGTGAGGAGAGGTTCAAACCAACACAATGTGGTTTTTTCCACTGTTATACAGTTTGGGCTTGAACACCTGTTGTTGCTGCTCAATATACAGACTCACTTTCCATATGGATAATCTCTTGGGGAATTAAAGAGTCTGGACTGGAGTCGAGTGCTGGAGGGCTTTGGTTTTGCAACAGTTCCTGTGGTTTTCTCCTTCTCCTTGGCCTGTAGTTACAATAATCCTATTTTAAAACATACCTACTTTGCTTCCAAGATGGGTGTGAGGGGGAGAGAGAGTGTGTAGGGGAGCATGGGAAACCCCCACACACCAGCAGGCCTGTGTGTGTGTGTGTCTGCTTGAGTCAGGCTGGGCACATGGCCCCTTTGCCGAGGGCTTCCATGAGTCACAGCTGGGCTGCCTGACGCTGGCGGGCCCTGCGGAAGGGCCAGGTTTTTCTCATGGTCGCATCAACCGAGTGTCACAACAGAACAGCTGTAGAAAAAAAGGGGGAAACTTGCCTTGTCTTTTGTTCCCCTGTCTGGGAATCGGTTCCTATTGGCCCCAGCTCCAAAGCCAGGAACACGTTGTGCCCCAAACGCTTCTGTGCAAACTCTGGCAGTTTTGCTGAACCTCGTTTTCTGTGGTTTCACCGAACAGCTGGAGTTTGCACAGAAACAGCTGAGCCGGGGGCACGTCCCAGGGGCCGCTCTGGGTCACGGCGTGCCCGAGGGGGAAGCTTCCAGCCCAGCCTCCCACCGTGCCGGTGTTAAGTGACGAGGGCAGTGTGGGCCCAAGGCGCCACCATCATCTGATGTATCAGAACACG